AAAAAAAGCACGAGCATTAATTAACCAGCTGTCTTTGAGAAGAATGGTATATCGCTTTGATAGAAACCTTAATTTTTGTCTTTCTTTCTTTTTTTTTTTTTTCTCTCTCTTTTCGTTCATAAATAGTCCTTAGATAGATATGAAACGTGACAGAGTTTTTTTGAGCTCAAAGCGCTTTAAATTCGAGAAAATCGAGGAAACCGATTTTTTGCCTCGACACAATAGGTTACCATGGCAACAGTATGACCTGCTAAAACACCCTTAATTACAGCTTTAAGGGCTTATAATTCAATGACGGCACGGTGAAATTTTTTTATATTATTAAATTTTGGTAAACATGATCAGAGGCAACTTGCACGTAGGGTTCAGAGCTACCTTAAATTTTCAAAATTTGAAGGCGGCTCTGAACCCTATGTACAGATTGTTTTAAAACCTTGCCAAAAGTTGCGTCTTATCATGTTCATCAAAATTTAATGATATGACAAAATTTCACCGTGTCGTGTTTTAATTATAAGCCCCTAAAGCTGTAATTAAGAGTGTTTTTAGAAGGTTATATTGTTGCTGTGGTAACCTATTGTGTCACGAAAATGACACCAACGTGTTCGCATATGATTAGGCAGTTTTTTGATACCATGATTGTAGCATCAAGTGATAATGAAAGGAAACTATGAAGAAGTCGTGGATACATTGCCTACATACATTTACTTGATCTATAATTAGTTATAGTCTGTTGATAATTTTTGAAATGACTTTTTGAAAGCCTTTTTGAAAGCTGAAGTACTACATCTGCAATGTGACTAGGCAAGTAAACAAAAATAAAATTACAGGCTGTTTATACAGACTGCTTGTAAATTTTAAAATGGAATATTTTAATTAATTTTGATTGCCATTGGAAAATAATTATTAATACAGTATATTAACTTGTACATATAGTGTCAATTGACTCCTACAGTCTGTTGCACAAGGAAGCCATTAAAAGAGAGTTCACCATAATCACCAATCTCAAATTAACACCCAGTCAGACTCAGAGTTGTTGGTCATAATATGCATAATATTAGTGAGTCAGCAGTGTATTTTGCGTCAAGGTAATTTGGTTGTGGTGCTTCTTCAGGTTAACATTCAAGTGTTGCATTATGAAAAGGTTGTATTGCAATTATGCAGAAAGTATGTCACATGGTTTTGACATTCTTAATTTTAAGACAATCAGCTTGAGAATGCCAAGAGTATTTTGCAAAATTTTACTTTGGTGGGACTCTTTGGATCCACTGTAATTAGCTAAGCTGTAGAGGTCCCCCTACCTAATAATAAAAATTTTATGTACATAAGTATTTTACGTAGTCAGGCAAAGTTGAATAAATAAATAAAAGATATTGCAAACATGAACAATATGATTTTAGCTAGCCGGTAAATGGGAATAGAGAGAAAAGTATTTCTGCAAATATTATAAGAATCATTTCAAATATTTTTCAGCATCCCTCTCAGAAAGGGCTACTTGAAAAAGTTTGGCTGAAATGATACTCTTCCATGAAATCCCCTGCTACATCTTGTACCAAAAAAGTTAATGTACATGTACGTGTAGCTTCAAGCTTGAAATCTCTTTCACATATCTACAATAGACCTATTACTTCCCTTTGGGTGGATAAATTAGCAATGAATGTTTAAAATACCTACCTTTTTGTCACACCTCCTGCCTGATAAAAAGTGCACCTTGAGTCAACTATAGGGAGTCCTCTCAGCTTGATGCAATACAAAACAAAAAGGGTATTGCAGATTGTAATGTACACAATAAAAATAACAATAGTTTCTTTCTTGGAAACGGAAATCACATTATTTCATGCCTATCTTGGCAATTGTTTGTGTTCATTTAACTAGCAATGTAGAAATATTCAAAACCATTGTTGACAGGTATGTTACGCCGCAAAATGTAATAACAATCGCAGTAAAATGTAATACTAACGCAAAATGTAATAACATCAACGCAAAACGTAATAAAGTTATCAACGCGAAATGTAATAACTTTCCAACGCAAAATGTAATAACTTTTTTAACGCAAAATGTAATAACACAAATTGTAATAACTCCTGACAGTATCGTGATTCTGACTTTTCGGAACCTAAGTTATAAATAACCCGTATACTAGGTCTACTAGTTTTGTTATAAGTTCTACACATTCTCGAATCAAAATAAGAAACATGTTCCTTTCCCACGTTGGTTGAACGAGGAAGGGGTTGGGGGAAGGAGCGGGAGGACCTTGTTTTGTGTGAAGCATTATGAAATTTCTGGGTTTAAATAAGGCTCTGTGGATGACGAGAGATCGTTTGGTCCGTTCTGGCACGCTTCATCACAGTCCCCGGAGTCTTGTCCGCCCACAGACACTTGATCATCTTCCCCAGAGTTCTGTCTGTCCACAGATGCTCGATCGCCATCCCCAGAGTTTATTCCGCCCACAGACTCTTGATCATCGTACCCAGTGTTCTGTCTGCTAGCAGACGCTTGATTTTCGTCACCGGAATTCTGTTTGTCCACGCATACCTCAATACCGTTTACAGGATTTTCTCCGTTCTCATCATCGATCTGATTCATTCAAATTATCTTCATCTGTTAAACAAACATAATGTTCTCCGTCATCCTCGGCAAAATGCCATAAAATGAATGTACACATCTGGTTTGCAGCCACTGGAGAAACAGTAGTTACGTACCCAGGACCATTAGACGATAGAACTCTGAACGCGACATTGTATAGATTGGAAGCGGCCTGAAGCGTTATGTGGTCACCAAATGTACAATTTTGGGACATTGAAGAGAGATATGTAGGCCACGGCAGATCTGTAAAATTTTGCAGTGGTGTCCCATCGGCAGCAGTGGGGTTATTAT